CACCGCCTCCTTTAAGGTCGCGGGGAAGACACCCTCCCGTAAAGAAGCGTTTATAATTCCCTGGAGCCAGGCTCGTGTACCCTCCCGAGCCGCCAGTACCAGCCAGGAGGGGCACGGATCCAATAAACATGTGGTCGCATTCAGCCTCCCCAGGATCCTGTCCACATCCTCGGGAGCCACAGAGTCAAACTCCTCCCATGTAATCATCTCAGGACCTGCTCTCTCCACCTCCCCCTGGGGCACCCAGTCGGAGTCCAACCCCTCCCGGATCCGAGCGACTTTATCATTCAGATATTGTGCAAAATCCTCGGCCCTCCCCACCAGGGGATCCTCCCCCCCCTCAGTTGAAGGAGGGAGCGGGTCACCCTGAAGAGGGTGGCCGGGCGGTTATCTGATGACCAATATAATCATTTGTACTTAGGATGAAATAAAAACCTGAAGCTCTGATGTAATAGAAACATCTAAAAGAGGCTCTCTTCTCTCATATGTCAGTCACTAAAAGATTCAAGATCCAATTACTAAAACAAAAATCACATGCATAGGATCCTCACCCACCTTTGAACTGTTTGATCAAATTCTGATGGTTCTCAATGGCTTCCTGCAAGATCATCTCTGGCTGGTCCATCTTCCATCGCCACTCTGTCCCAACAGGATTTGTATGGTGTCTGAAAAATAAAAATATATAATTAAAAAATAATGCTATGTACCTGAGAATTAATCTGGCAGTGTAGGACTAACAAAATTAAAGCAATGCTTTTTTGAAAATCTGGCCTTTGGTAGACTCAATCCTGGACAGCAAGTCTGGTGTAATGGTTAAGGCACCAGGCTAGAAAACAGGAGACTATGAGCTGTAGTCCTGCCTTAGGCATGAAGCCAATTGGGTGACCTTGGTCCAGTCAAGCCCTAGGAAGTACACAACGGTAAACTACTTCCTAAAATCTTGCCAAGAAAACTGCAGGGACTTGTCCAGGCAGTCACCAGAAATCAACACTGACTTGGAGGCACAAACATGTTAACATTTTTGCTAAAAAAATATTCAGTCCCAGATCTTTACCTCCAACAGAAGACACATTTATTAGCACAAGCCAAACTCGGTGTGGTTTCCATACAGCGGTGACTTTCAATGCCATAAAAGGTGTGCTTGTAACAGCCTCCTCTTCCACGAAGCATTGACTATCAGACAAATGTGAAGAACAACAAAATAAATAACAGTTGTCTCAAGATGGTGTTGCTATTACAAGCATTTACCTTATACATCATATTTTATTTTTACCAATCTAAATTATTCTTAAACTATAATATATTACATGCCATTTTGGAATGAGAAGAAAGGTAGAATATAAACCAAATTTAAAAATAGTAATAAATTCTTGCTGGCACTAAATGTTAAATGGTATGTTCTCTACTGGAGAAAAAAAGTATTCTGCAATATGGAGCCATCACTAAATAAAGCGAAGGGATCCCACAGAAGCTGAATGCAGACCCTCCTAACCGCAAAGTCGTATCACCAAATTATTATTATTATTTTACAGTTTTTATGGCCCCTCCTCCTCAAAAAACAATGGGTGGACTGAAACGCATTAAATATATACAAAATAACAATAGATATTGCACCGCAATGCACACCAATAACACTTAATTAGGAATGGCTGGGTGAAATAAAATCATGAAATCGTCCAGGAGTGGGAGGACATAACAAATCTAATAAATTCAATTGAATTAAAAATCTACAACTATCTCAATACTATAAAGGAGGGAACATTGTGATAATTAATATAAATTTATTTCTGCATTTTCTTTTTATTACCATTAATTTATTTAAAGCATTTTCAGCTTTTCCTCGGTTACACTGTGATGAATATAAAACCCACCATAGGGAAGTTGTGCCTCTGAGGAGCCAGATTCACTTATTTTAGTTGCCCTCCAAATTCATCTGGAGGGCGTGAGATTGGGAGAGACCTGTTATTATTATACACAGTCCTATATGTTTTTGTATTAAGACACTATTGTTATCACCATCATGATTAGGTTACTTGAGGGACTGTCTCACTCCACTGGGATTGACCCATCCCACTCGTGCCGGCAGAAGAGGCCTGTTACGGGTCCCGTCAGCCTGATTATTCCGGTTGGCGGGGTCCAGGAGGAGGGCCCTCTCTGCTATTGCTCCTGTTTGCTGGAACATCTTGCCCTCACCCCATGTGAGGTTGGTCCCAACCCTCCTATCCTTTCATAAGGGCCTAAAGACCTGGTTCTCCAGTCAGCTTGGGACCCCAGTGGGGAAGCAGCGCAGTAGAGGTGGTTGATCTAGTAACGACAGATCCCGCCTCTCTGCACTCCGCCCCCCTCCTCCCCATGTTTCCTTAGGTGTTAACGTTTGATTTTAATTATTTATGTTTTAATTGTACATGTATAGATATATTTTTATAACTGTAAGCCGCCCAGAATTACCCTATGGTAAGATGGGCGGCCAATAAATGTTATAAATAAATGAATTTCAAAATTGATTGGAAAAGAAAAGCAGCACCTTTGTCCATCGGCAAAGCTTCACTCCAGAATGGCTCCCAATTAATCTATAACCTGAATGAAAAAGGAGGTTTTTTGTTTTAGTTTGAATGATATTATAGCAGAAAGAAATGGCCGTAAAGATCTTGATGGGCTATCAAATATATAAGCAAACACTTTTCTTCGAAGTCAGCTCCAGTAAGCACAAGGTGGTTTATTTGGTTTTGACTATTTATATGATTATATTGTTTTTAATGCTGTGAAAACCATGATTTATGGCTCAGTTCAATAAACTATGGTCAATAAAATTATGGTTTAGCACGCTATATGAGAGAGCCATTTTGATGTAGGGTGAAGGCATTGGGTTAGAAATGTGGGAGAATTCTAATCCAGCCTTAGGCACAAAATCAGCTAAATGACCTTGGATCAGTCAGTCTCTCTCCGCCCTAGGAAGAAGGAAAGGGCAATTACTTCCAAATGAGCTCCCAAGAAAACAGCAGGGAGTTGTCCAAATAGTTGTCAGGAGTCAAGATTGACTTGAAGACAAAAACAAACAAACAAAACAAACAAAAGAATATAAACCTGCCCATTTAATTGGTCTGTCTCCATCTGACTACTCTTACAATAAAGCAGTGTTTCTTAACCCTGGCAACTTTAAAATGTGTTGATGCTGGCTGGGGAATTCTGGGAGTTGAAGTCCACACATCTTAAAAGTTTGCACGGTTGAGAAACACTGCAATAAAGTGAATTTTTAATTTAGTTTCATCCATAGGAATGGGTCTCCCAACCATTTTATCCTCACAGCAGCCCTGCACAATAGACCAGGAGAAAGAACAGTTCCAATAGAAAATATGTAGCTCAGGATTCAACCGTGGAGACCTTTGTAGTGTCTGAGCTTGTTGTTTGCTTGCAGAAAACAAGCTCAGAGTCATTACCTGACTAGATAACACCATCAGTGCAAATGAGTGTGGGGTCTGCTCCCTAATTATACGCAGATGTTTGTCCTGCCAGTTGTGGTTCCCCACTGAAGAACAGTCTCAGAGTCAAAGTATTCAATGAGCTTCATAGAAAGTGTCTGAGCCTCAGGCTTCCTCATAATAAGGCCTAACTGCACCACTACACCAACTCCCCAAATTCTTGCAATATCCAAGCTTGTGTTCCTGTAGCTGCTCAATTTCTGAACATAACATAACATACAAAGAGATGCTTGCTTGAAAATAAGTCTGGGGAATATTATGGAATATGTCTGCAAATGTTGTGTCCCTTCCCCTGCTTACACAAATCTGTCTGTCAATCTTTAAAAAGACTTACATGGCCACCCATTTCAACATACAACTCCAGTAGCTAACAATCATCTAAAACATTTAAATTGTGCTCACCTGCAACATTGAGAATTATGTTTGAACTACCTGAATATTTGAATACAGAATAGCCTTTTTGAAAGCCGAATTCAATGAGTTGTCATCAAATACGTTACCGGTATATGGTAGATTTTAAAAAATTCCCATCTCAAAGATTTTGCCCCCTAATGGAACCCTAAAATAGCGGATGATATTTTACTGCATTGTGAATTTTATAAAAGTTTTGGAAGAAAGTTACCTGGGCTATTTTAAAATCTAAACCAGGAAGAGATTCTTCTGAATATACAAAATTTTTACTTGCAAATGAAAATCCCAAGCAGCCAGATTTTTAACTATGACTATAAAAACAAGGCTTTTAATAACAAATCAATGAGCTGGAGTCTTAAGTAATATTTATTAAAAAAATTACTTGTTATTCCATTTGATATAATGCCAAGTTTAAATTATGTTTGTAACTTGTCCTGGACCTTTGGGCTGTAAATAAAATTGAATGACTGAATTTAAAACACCAATAATAGCTACAATAAATACACTAATTATAATAACAATCAGCGTAGGTTGCCCCTGCACTGAAACCCCATCACCTTGCTTTGTGAGTGCCTCTCGAAGAGCAGGGGTGATCATCTCTCTTCTCCCATCCTCCCCTTTGCCATGTTGAGTTCCAGCTCCAATGGGAACCTCTCCGTCAGTTTGATGCTCTTTCTGTGCAAGAACGACAGATTTTTTTTTTTTTTAAAGAAAGGAAGCTGAATTGTTCTGCTCCCTGTTCTTCAGTTGGAGAAATGCTTTCATTAAAATGCTATGAAACTGCTACAGCTTTGGCCAGCTTCATAGGATGGCGTTTTTACAATGGACTGCTCACAATTAGGATTGTACTAGACACGGAGACTTTCAACGGCAAAACAAAGTGTGACTTCTACTGCTATCACTGCCAGGAGACAGCAGCGCAGCAATAGGGCAGGGTTGGGCAGTGGTAGTAGTAATACCCTAGAAATACACCCTAGAAATAGAAATAGTCCTCAACTTACAAGCAACTGGGACCGGAACTTCAGCTGCTAAGCACTGAGTTGTAAAGCGTAACCCTATTGCTTAGCAACGGCAATCTCTGCAGTCCCAATGGCCATTTTTAACCAAATCCTATCATTAATAAGCAAGACGATTTCCTGCCAGCTTCCCAAAATCAAGTCAGTGGGGAAGCCAGCAGAAAGTTGCAAGTCCAAATGGCTTGCAAACAGGCCAACCAGGTGACTGCTGCCAGTTTGGAGAGGCCATGAAGGGGTGCATGAGACTGTGAGAGAGAGGTGGGGAGGATGTATGGGTGGCACAGGAAGGGTTGGGGAGGAAGTGAGAGAGGCATGGCAAAGCTTGGGGAGGGTGCAAATGCCCTGTATGGTGCAAGAGCAAGGGAGCTGGTAGAGAGTGCACAGCTCGGGAGACTTTGCCCAGCAACTTCCAACTTTCCCTGCCGGCTTCCCCATTGACTTTCCGTGGAAGCCAGCAGGGAAAGTTGCAAATGGCAATCATATGATCATGGGGCACTGCAATTGGTTGTAATTGCAAACCAGTTGCCAAATACCCAGATCACACTCATATGGAGCTCCGAGGACCAGTCATAACCATCATTCACTCAACACTGTTGTAACTTTGAATGATGGCTGAATAATCAATAAGTAGAAGGATACATGAGCAAGCAGAAAGGTCTTTGGATCAAGGGCAAAATTCTCCTTACCTGAGATTTCTTCATGTGGCCCATCATTTTGCCCAAATCTTCAACATCCACAACCTGATCTGCACCTCTACCATTCTCTATATCAGATTCCTCCTCACTTGTGGTTTCAAACAAATCCTCCTCCTGACATGCAGAACAAGGGAAGAGAAAGCACAAGCCATGTTTCCAATCTATTCCATTCTCTAGTTAATGAGATACCAACTGAGTTGTCCTTATGTGCAGCACTGACGCTGTTTGATGCCTTCTCCAAAAATTGGTCAGAAGTCTGTCTAGTAACAGCCAGCATAATCCAACTCATAAAGAAGTAGGCCTGGAAGAGACAGATTCAAAATCTACCTCTTCCATGGATCACACCTATAAAACTCACAAAATTAAAAAAAAATCTTTAGGAATCTCTATGGCATAATGTGGTTTGTCTGATTTTTGGCTTAGAAAACTGCATGAATCAATCACAATGGTTGGTAAACAATGATTTCTGTCTTAGCATGAATAGGAGCCCAATCAACTCTGATTTTGCATGTAAAGCATGTAGCATGTAGTAAACCCAGCTGTGGTGAAGCATTTACAAAGATTCCAGCTACAGAACAATTTCTTGAGTGAAGCAAACTGTTAACAGTATTGGCAGAAAAAACATAGAGAGTCTAGCAGTAAAAGAAACTGTTGAACTGTGGAACAGGAACAAAGGCATGGAGAGAGACTAAAGGATGGTAAAATGAGTACGAAGAACATCAGTTATGGGTTAGAGACTCTTTCAGCAGGATTCCTGTATTGAGTAGGATTGGAATCATCACTTAAATAATTCCTTACTTTTTCAGGATGTTTGATTCTATAGTAGTAAGAAACAGAAAAAAAATAAGAAATAGGTATATTGGAACAAGTAAATGAAGAAGATAAAAGCTGGAGCACAAAGGAAATGGAGGAAGGCTGAACAGCAAAAAAAAAAAAAAAAGTGGGGAAAATTCTCAGAGTTATGAGTGTGTGCTGCCCAAAAGAAGAGTAAAAAAAGATCCAAGATTGTTCTGTAATACATATAGATACATATAGATGAGGTTCATTACATAAAAGAAGCAACAGAGCCAAAATCAGAGAGTTCTATCAGTCCGCTCCACTTACTTCTTTCTCCGCATGCTTTGAGGTCTCTTGCTCTTTTGCTTCTTCTCTCACTTTTGGTTTGGATCTACATCGCCCTTTTTTGCATGTCCCACTACAGGCCTTCTGGTCCCCTTTGGCAACAGCTTGAACCCTCGTGAGCAACTTGGCCTTCCAAGCCTCAAAATCAGCCTCAATGCTTCCATGCTGGCTCTTCACCACATTGCTGTCCCCTCTAGCACATGACAGAATGCGTTGAGCACCCAGCATCCACAGCCACTTGTCAATGTTCCTGCTCACCTGCAGAGAAAACAAGAGCCAGAGAGGCAATGTTTGGGTCCTAAAAAGGCAAACGATGCTAATCATAATGGGCATATTTGGAAAGTTCCAAGTTCAAAGGAGTCTGTCCCACCTCCTTCCTTCTTCCTGTTGTATCACTTCCATCACCCCTTTTGTCTCCAAACCAATAAAAAGAGCCTCCATATTAAACAGCAGACTCAGGAAAGGTATTAGAGGAAGTAACTAGAGAATCAAAAAGAATGCACACATTTTCCTATCTGTTAAATGTAAAGATGCCACTAATCCAACATCTAAGACAATCACTACTGGATATCACATAGTCCAGCGGTTCTCAACCTATGGGTCGCGACCCCATTTGGGGTTGATCGACCATTTCATGGGGGTCGCCAAGCAAGGCTGTCCGCCATTTTTCCCCTTTTCCAGCGGGTGCCTTACCTCCCTTGAGCTGGGCCAGCTGGTGGTTGGCCTGCTCCGTCTCTGCCGCTTGCCAGCTACGCCTCGGCCGGCGCAGGGGGCGGAACCACGCATGCGTGGCGCTCCCGGGCAGGGAAAGTCCTCGACTTACGACCGGTTGGGTAGTCCTCGACTTATGACTGGTTTAGTCCTCGACTTATGACCGGTTGGGGGTCGCGGCATTAAAAAGGTTGAGAACCACTGACATAGTCAAAGTGACGGAGTAGTGAAAAAAATACCTTTCTGGCTACCTAACTTTTTTTCAGCCATTCCTCTAACTTACAATTTCACCACGTGCTAGAAACTGTTTTTTAAAGTGAAAATAACGTTCATGCTCCACTATTGTATTTCATGGCTTTCCACTGATTCCATATAACCAATTGTATTGTCACTTGTTGAAAAGGAGAAGATATTGAAATATCACCTGATTTGCTTTATAACCATTGTAGAAATGGTTGTAAAATTGACCCTGATCATATGGTGCTTTGACTTATGACCGCAATGACTTACAACTACAATTCTGAGCTCCACTGTGGTGGTAAGTTCAGAACAAACTATATCAATAACATGCACAGATTTATTTATTTTTTAAAAAGTAAAACAATACTCACAGTGTTGAAGTGGTCGGCATAAACTGAATTTCCCAAACCAAAGACAGCGTATCGCAGGCCCTTCAGATATGCTTTGCCAACTCTGAAGTCATTGGCCGCCTCTTCCAGCCACTTGCAGAACCACGCAGCATTCTCCGTGGGTTTGCCATCAGTGTAAGTGGCAACTAAGAACACGCAGATATTCTGGCTGCTTATCTGAACAAATCCCCAAAGAAAAACAGTTTTTTTTCTCTGTCACAATATTTAAATCAACCACTATTGTTTACTATTCATAGTAAAAAAAAGAAGAAATGCCAAAAATTCATTCAAAGTAACTCATTAAGTGTTTTCCGGTGAGACCGGTCCATCAGGGCAATCTGGCCTACCCCAAATATGGGATGGAGCACACTGCTTCCACTTTTGCCGTTCAGCTCCAATCTAGGAGCTTTCATAGGCAGTCGCTTCTGCAACACACTATTTGTATGTTAAATTTAAATTTACCGATCAAGAATTAAAGGGAGACTAGTATAGCTATTTTGAGCTATTTAGCTCTCATCAGCTAGTCGGTAAATTTAAAAGTAACTCATCTTTGAAGAGCTTGGCCCTAAGATCAGAGGAAAGGAATTCTTCTCATTCATTTCTCCTCAGATTCTGCATGCCAATAAAGGATATGAAACTATTAACTGTTCAATATATTATTAGTATGACATTTTTCACGCAAAGATGTTCTATAGGGTTTCTCCCCTCAAATTCCCCCCAAAATAACTATTTGGGATATTATTCTATCTGATGTGGGACAGACCATTCTGGAGAAAGTCTGTCTATCAGGTCACTATGAGTTGATACTCACTTCAGAACATAATCAAACAATTAAAATATTATTTTGTTATTGTTGTTAACCATTAGGATGTTGATTCTGTCTGTCTGTCTAATTTAGTTTGCCATCTGAAATCAACCATAGTTTAGGCAATTTACAGAATTTACATAGTAAATACAAGTTTAGAATAAAATTTAAAAAGCAACTACAGATAAAAGGCTACATTTATAGAACTATGGAAAATGACACTATTGTATACAGTTAATCAAAAAGGTCCTTCAGAACAGCGGTCCCCAACCTTTCCAGCTTGGCGGCCTGGCCAGTCCCGGCGAGGAGGAGTGGTGTGAGTGGCAGGTGCATGCGCACGCACAGCTCCATTTGTGCAAGCAGCATGTGCGTGCCTTCCACTCGTGAGAATAGAGCTTCGTGCGTGAGCAGAGGGTGGTTGCACTCACATGCAAAGCTCTGCTTGTGAGCCGAGGGCACTTGAGTGGAGGGTACTGTGCTCGTGCGCAAAGCTCCACTCACATGAGTGCAAGTGCCCTCCACTCGCTCGAGTGGAGCTTCATGTGTGAGCGCAAGTGCCCTCCACTCACGCAAATGGAGCTTCACATGCATGCGCTTGCCCATTTTTCCCATGACCCAGTTTCGAACAGACTGCGGCCTGGGGGTTGTGAACTCCTGCTCTAGAAGAGCTATTTTTTTCTCCTGTACCTGGAAAACTGTAAGGTAATTGTTGTTTCAAGGCCATATTATACCAAAGGCAGGGTACTGCTATAGAAAATGTCACTATTGCCCACTACCGTACTTCTTGGGAGATGGGGATTCTTAGCAGGCTTCCCCTTATGTCCAGGTAGTATGGGCAGAAACTAATATGGAAAAACAGTCCCCAAGCTCAGAGCCATATATGACTCTGACTAGCACCTTAAAATGCACTTGGAATCCACTGGTAACGGTACAGGTCCTGCAGCAGAGGTATATCAATAATCTAACTGAGTGTGTATGCTGATGCCTTCTGGATCACATGAAATTTTGGTGCAGCCTCACATAGAGTACAGTAATCTAATAGAGAAGCTCAGTTTGGTTAAAGGCACTGGGCTAAAAACTAAGAGATTCAGAGTTCTAATTCTGCCTTAAGCACAAACTCAGCAGGATGACTTTGGGCTGGTCATTTTCCTAAGAAGAAAGCAATGGAAACCATTTCTGAAAATTTCGCAAAGAAAACTACATGGACTTGTCCAGGCAATTGCCAGGAGTCAAAATGGACTTGAAAACAAAACAAAAAAAAGAGATGATAAAGGTTTAAACAACCATCCTCAGTTCATCCAGTTCCAAGCAAGGCCTCAGCTGATGCACCACCCACAGCTCTCCTGGCCATAGTTTTTACTTGCTCTTAAAACAGGAGCCATGAATCCATGAGAACCCACAGATGGCATTCCGGCTAGAAGAGATGAAATACAAACCTCATCTATGAGAGAGTCATCTGGATCATAATCTTGCATGTCAATAATTTCTGCTGGCAAATTAATGGTGGCAACAGCTTCAGTAAGTACTAGTGCAAACCGCTAGAGAGAAAGAAAAAAAAACCCAGTGAAGATCTGTTTCATATAAGAAAGCCACACTAGGTGATTCTTTGACTGATCTATGAAGGAGAAATTGCTTCAGCTTTATCTCTTGCAATTCTTGAGTGCAAGGCAGGGAGATGCTAGGGTTTAGCACTGAAACAGCAGAAACACATAATCCCCACCACTATTTAGGAACTGCAGACATCAGGAAAAACCCAAGAAGACAAAAACCTTAGACGCTGCTTCCAGTATTTGACAGTGGAAAGCACTGAAATGGATGGACTCCAGCAACTCTTGTGATTGGAAGATGCTCGTACATAAAAATTAATGTATCTAGACCAGAAGGAAAAATCTCCACTCTGAACTGGACTCAGAAGGACCTGGAGTGGGAACTCATAAAAGTAGAGATTGGCAACCTGCCACATGCAACCTCTCATATCTTTGGAGGCAATTCCTTCTAATTAAAAATCAACAATAATGTCTTTCAAGTGGAAAAATTCTAAGGCTATAGTGTACCCTCTAAAAATAGTTATCACAATGAAAACAAAACACCAATCTCTCCACAACCCACAACCTTCAAATTCCATTGCTCTATGATCAGCCACACACACTTTGCTTATTAATCTTATACTGGGGCCTTTGTCCTCTTACTCTTGCTATAAAGAGGCAGAAATGTGGCTATCTAATAGGACCTTGAAAACTCTGCTCACCATCATGCTGGTTTGCTGAATAGTTCAGGATACTGTTCTCTGCTCTGATACAGCACAACTGCTACAAATGCCCAAAAGGGCACTTTATCTTATTCCTCAATCACAATCCCAATGAGCTTGGATTGAAAAAGTTTTTGGCTGAAAATTATCTGGACAGCACTAGTACTGAATGAGGATTTGAAACGTAATCTCTGTTCTGCAAATCTAATACCTGAAATGCTACATAAACTGGCTATATGACACTTGCAACTTTCTGGCAAGAATTATGAATGTAGCAGCCAAGAAGCCTCTAATTTTGATCCAGTTGCTGAGTATAACTACTCACCACTTAAGGAAAGATTGGACAGCACCTAAATTCCCTTTCTTATGTCTTTTCTCCACTATCACCACCACTTTACTACACCCCCAAATAATCTCATATTTAAATTATTTCTTTATAAGTAACAGATTTTCAAGGCTCAATTAGATAAAATTCAGTAAGACCAGCAACAAAGGGCCAAGCTCTGAAGATAAGAATTAACCAAAAAACACATATGAGTGTGCTTTTTTTCTCCTGAAAATGGTCAACTACCTCTATTCAACTAAAGGAGAAAAAAAGACATGGCTGCAAGATAAGTTAATTCACCTCTTGCTGAATTAATGAACTGTTTACCTTTGCTGTTCCAGTCTGGGAACCATAGAATACTTTCACTCCGGCTACATGGACTTTGTCAAGGCATGGATCTTGTTCTTTTTCAGCAGCTGTGATTTTAGGAAGGTTTAATTCTGCAAGGCGATTTTTGTTCTACAAAGGAAATATTTAAACAACAGATTCCCAGAAATAAACTTAGTCTCTTTTTTTCCTGATGCCATTAGTCACTTTACCCCTCAATGCAGATGATGTACAACTTAGAGAGAAAGACAGTTTTGTCTAAGAAAGTTTTCTCTTATAAGAGGACTACATCCTGCACCTGAACAAGAAAAATTAAGTAATCGGGCGGGAAATATCATCCACTAATACTGAGAGGACAACATATATACTATAAGTAGATTTCATTCCCTGGAGAACAAACAAACTATAACTATATTTGTGTAGTTTGCCTCAAACAGTTTAATTTCTGAATAAACTTGCAGAAGATAGTACTACGGTTTTGGTGGAAAGAATTTGCCTCCTTTGAGATGGCGAGGGGTATATTTTTTGCTACTGAATTTTTCTTAATCTCTCAACTGCTCGAGCACTCAGGAGGCCACCACTAGAGATTCCATCATCTTTCCATCAAGGTTGAAGTTCCCAGAATTGAAAATATTAGACACAGTGAGATTAAAATTACCTGCTCTTTGACTTTGTTGAGGAACTGGAAGCAAAACCAAAGGCTGATTCCAAAAGCTGCACATGAATAGAGGTAAAATCGGTTCAGCCACAGGAAAGTTAAATGATCATGGAAATTGTCCCAGGTGTCTGCAGGAGTATCTAAAACACAACAGAACAAAATGCTACTATTATTAAAAGCCAGATATCAGGATAAATTGAGATCTTGTCTCTGGTAAGCATGTTTTGGACCAAATTAAAGGTGGCAGAATCATTGTATAATCTTAGAACTATATTGTTTACCAGGGACCATTAAGGATATCAAATCCAACCACATGCTCAACTCAGAAGCCAAATTAAAGTATCTCAGATACATGGTACTGAAACATCAATTGTCACTCCTTCAGTCTTTCTTTACAGGACTTAATTTCTAGTCTCCTAATCATCTTTCTTGACTTTCTCTGAATCTGCTCAAAGTTCTCTGAATCCTTCTCAACATGTGATATCCAGAGCCTTTTACAGTATTTAGAGCAGAGAACTGACCAAAGCAGAAAAGAGTGGAACAATTATTTACTATGATTTGGAAATTCAATTTCTGTTGATGCAGTCCTAAAATTGCATATGCCTTCCTTCAGCAACCTCATGTTGCTTGCTCATATTCCATTTGCAATCATTTACTCTACCCAGATTTTTTTTCCCACCATCTATCCTCTGTAAGTCATATTCTCAGTGGGATCAAAAGAAGCAAGATGATTACAGCTTGTCAAAATCCCACTATTTATATGTGTACTGATGTCAAATGCACATACAAAAGATCAGGGCTTCAATCATACTGCCTCTTGAGTTTTTCATTTTTGTTTCCTAAGTAATTATCAGTGTATCCATTGTGGGCCCGGCTAGAAATTTAATATCAACAGAATTCAGTTTTTTTGGGGATAGGACCCATACTGTGCTGATTGGTTTGTTATAATATTTTTATATATATAAGATAGGCAGCCATATAAATTGAATAAATAAATAACGTGGAATAAAATGCCACTAGAGTTCAACCAAGCTCTGCCTTAATGTACTAATGTTTGAGCATAAAGTTTTGTTTTCTTGTGCTTTGTATTATTAGTTATGGATGTGCTGCTATTTTTATTGTACTTCTGTAAGCCATCCAGAGCCATTACAGGAGTAAGAAAAATATACTTTTTACAAACTTATTATTTCCTAAGCAAGTTAGAGCCAATAAAATTAGAGATGGGGAATATAAGTTCTATATAATCACGAGTGTACAGTTGTGCAAAAGTGTCAAAATTTTCTTAAATTTCACGTAATGTTTAAGTAAACCTTATAAAATCGTCCTATTTATTTGCACAGGAAGCTTCCAAGAAAGCTGTATTCATATTCTATGGAAATGATACAAATTCGTGACTTTTTAGGTCCTGATTCTTTGGCGAGCTACAGGACTTCCATGTTAATAAATAAATATGCTAAAGGTTTAAGAATCCGTCGCTTATCAAAAACCTTGGCATGCTTTCTGGAGACTAAACCGCATCTAAGCCAATAAGGCTTCCTTCCCAAGAAGTAAGGTTTTTCGCCTCCGAGTACTTACCCATGTCTTCCCTCCCAAGCCGCAATTCCCGATCCTACCAGACGATGTTTTTCTGGTTCTTTCGGGACCGCAGGGGGTCATTCCCAAGCAGCCCCATTACTCGCCCCACGAGCTCACAGGCGCAGCCATTTTGCACCTTCCACCCCCGGCATGCTGGGAAGAGGACATTAACCTCTCAGTGGCTGAAGATAAAGTTCGCCCTCCAGCACTAGCGATCGCTACAAAACGCTCTCCCTCCAAAGTGTGCATGCTTTTAATCAAGAAATAAAGAAGCATCTTCCAGAATCGAGTGTATCAGAGAGGTTGAAAGGAGAATCGAAAATCCATGCATTTAAATAATGCGGATCCTAAATGCTTCGTGTTGGAATAGGGGGAGACATTGAGCCATGGTTTGTTTTAAAGGCATGGTTGATTCGTTATGCCAATCAACCATCCACTGTAGTGATTAAAGAGCCTTCTCGGTCTGTGTGGTATGAATAAACCACAACCGGCTAGTATATTAAAACAATTTAAACTCGAATGAAGGCGAATATACGTATCCCAGGATAACGTTGCAGGAGCCAATCTGGGTCGGTCACCGGGACCAGAGGTTTAGTCTTCCGAGCTGGAGCCCATCCTCAGGGAACTTCTCTCGAGCAGACTGTGTGCCTCTGGCAGGAAGACTAAACCTCTATTCCCGGTGACATGCAAGATTGGATCCTGCACAATTTAAACAAACGATGTTTAAAATACGATTATATGAATCTGCACAGTGACAAGTCCAAGATCATCTGTTCAAGGATTTGAAGACAGTCCTTCCTAAGATATCTTACTGGCTATTTTTTTTTTAAGTGCTACTTGCATTTTTGATCAAATCTCCGCAAAAAAGGAGTCATATTTTTAAACCTCGGTTTTTGTTTTTGATGCGGTCCCTCTTAATTAAGCCTTCTCACTCCCGAGAGGTCACTTTTCAACGAGGAACCATTAATCCTCGGGATTGGTTTCCCACCCGAGTGAGTTAAAGACGGACTTTTGGAGAGCCGGTTCTCGCGAGGTTTTGGCCCGTGTGTCGTCATAACGGAGGGGCGGAAGAGGCTCAGCTGTTGGCTTGTGTTCTGTGCAGCGGCGGCCGATCTTGGCGTATCATGGCGATCTTCACACCGACTAACCAGATTCGCCTGACCAATGTGGCTGTCGTGAGGATCCGACGGGCGGGGAAGCGTTTTGAGATTGCCTGTTACCGGAACAAAGTCATGGGCTGGCGGAGCGGCGCGTGAGTTGAGGGCTTGGGCCGCAGGGAGAGGAACAGAAAACTCCTGTCGTGCCCACTGACATTTGACAAAGCCAGTGTTTCTGAGTTTATGCAGAGTGCAAGACTAGCCTAAATAAATAATCAGTCAATAAATCCAGGGTTGAATTTTTCAATTTTTGCAATTCTGGCTTAAAATTCATTTACTTTTAAAGCATGTGCAAATTGCAGGGCTTAAACTCTGAACTGTGTGGTTCAACTGCTGTTATAAATCACCTACAGTATTTACACTTCTGTATTCATGTTTACTTAAGTATTGTCTATTAACCACAATTCTGGAGTAACAAATACATAGTAGTATGATAAAGAATAAGCAAATAAGTCAGAAGAGTGTAGTATAGAATAACATCACTGAGGTAAGTATTATTTCAATTTATATAGCTGCCCATCTCTTTGAAAAGTCATTGCCTGGAAATAACCAACATTTTGAATTAGATCTGGAATAATAATAGCAATAGCACTTAGACTTATATACCACTTCACAGTGCTTTACAGCCCTCTCTAAACGGTTTACAGAATTGGCATATTGCCCCCAACAGTTTAGGTCCTCATTTTACCAACCTGGAAGGATGGAAGGCTGAGTCAACCTTGAGCTAGTCTGGATCAAACTGCTGGTAGTCGGCAGAGTTAGCCTGCAATATTGCATTCTAACCATTGCACCACCACAACTCAGTGGTTAGAATGCAATGGTTAGAATGCCAACTAGCAACCAGTACAGTGATGCAATCTGTAGCTCGGGTGAGGATGAGGGTGATCTTATAGTATACTGACAACGTAGTCTCACAATTTGCAGCTTTGAATTCATTCCCAAGGGCAGTTCCATGTAGCCCAATGATCAGGACATGAGATATTGTCTTCAGGCATCTTGGTTTAAGTAGTGTTGAAGCTGCAGCACTAACCAAATTTGGGTGAAGCCACTCAAGCCATAGCTTCTACCTGCTGGTTGAACAGGAGCTGCAAGTTACAATCACCTCTTTCTATGGGAGCACAACCCCACTGAGTAATTATTGAATCAATATTATTAGATGGCTACCTGTTTACTGATAAATAGCAGATAGGACTTTGCCTTTGGACTAGTATTGCTTTCTTTATGTTTTAGCTGATTAAGGTGTTTCCTAATTATTTATATATTTTTAACCAAATTACAAGCTTGTTGCTTGACAATATGTCATTGCTAGTTCAGATCAATTATCAATTATACAATTATTCACTACAGTATTCTGCTTATGGAATGTAGCAGTTTAATCTGATTGCCCTGCTATAGTAATAGAATCAAAGGTAGTTTTAAAGAGCAGTAATCAGCATGGGTTAAACAAGACTATCAAAATACTTTGGTTGTTGGCATGCATTATTTAGAATGTGCTTAACAAGTAAAATTAATTTTCTAGTGAAAAGGACCTTGATGAAGTATTGCAGACACATTCAGTGTTTGTGAATGTCTCCAAAGGTCAAGTGGCAAAGAAGGAAGACCTCGTCAAAGCTTTTGGCACAGATGATCAGACGGAAATTTGCAAAACAGTAGGTATTGAAATTGTGCAAAAAAATAATGTTTTTTGTCTCATTTTATCTCTCCTTTAACATTTTTAAGGCAATTCAAGCAATATATCAGATAGTAGAAGGATAATCCCTTTATGTGTTTAGGTCAGCTTGGGGTCAGTGTTTAGGGTACTTGAGACCACTGAGCTATTTAAGGTCATTTGGGCTGAAGTATAATAATCATCCTGGGAGTTTTCATAGCTGAGAATGGACTTCATCTGGCTCTTCAGTCCTAATCCAATGCTATACTACACTGACTCTCTTTTAAATATTTCAGAAATTTGAACTCGAGCAAAAAAAAAAAATTTTTTTATGGCTTCATCACATATTACTTGTTCTGTGAGAAGGTTAAAATAATATGCAGTTTATGCTCTGATTTTAAAATTCAGTCTTCCATAGCCTTGTTGATATTAATTAAATTCTTTGCCACCCATCTGCAAAGCAGCTCTTATGGTTAACAATCAATGCTCATTTTACATTTATTGCTAATAGCTAATAGCTAATAGCTAATGCTTACTCAGCCTTAGATCACTGCCAAAAGTTAACAGAGTAAATGCTTAGTGCTTGGATGGGAGAGTATCAGGAACTTTCAGATTGGGTAGAGTAGACTGGGAAGACAAAATCCTGAAAAAATGAAAAGCCTGGACAAGCCCCTGCAGGTTGTCATTGTCTCCTTCCTAGGGCTGAAAGAAAATGACTGGCCCAAGGTCTTCTGTATTACTGCCCCCAAAACTATACAGACATCTCCATGTAATAACCAAGGTTCAGACTTGATACGAGGAAGTCATTATTTCTACTTTGTAATTTGCAGAGATTCTTTAGGACAGCCATTCTTCTAAGGTTCATAAACAGTCTTGAAAGCTGAATTAGAGTTCTGATGACGGTGCATGATACACCTTCTGAATTTGAGAAAGCCCAAGTCCAAATAAACTTTTCTTTGTTTCAGATCTTATCCAAAGGGGAATTGCAAGTCTCTGATAAAGAACGCCACACTCAACTGGAGCAGATGTTTCGTGACATAGCAACCATTGTTGCAGACAAATGTGTAAATCCAGAAACCAAGAGACCCTACACAGTCATCCTTATTGAAAGAGCTATGAAGGATATACATTATTCAGTCAAGCCTGGGAAAAGTACCAAGCAGCAGGTAGATGCCTACAAATTATAGGCATGTAAAGACACTGTAGCTTTTATTTTTACAGGCAGTCCTCAACTTATGATTGGTCACTTCATGACAGTTCAAACAATGACAGTTCAAAATTAGGACAGGCTTGGAATGGGTGTTTTACAGCTTGTAAAGTACTTCTGGCCATCGTAAAATGTGCCCCCCATATGCATACATGATCATGCAATTACATTTCAGCCACTTGACAACAGGTTAGGTGGGTACATGATTTAGGACCATGATGACTTAACACTCAGAAATCCAGTCCCAATTGCAATCATACGTTGAAGGCTAGCTGTACTAATTTGAAGTAACCTGATCATCTGGTTTGAGTTGACTTGTCACCAAGTAAACGGGCAAGATGATTTTTTGGAAATTTGCTTCTTTTTTTCTTCTGCAGATACCTGAAGGATGCTTAAACCTGTAGATTGGTAACATTAGTTGTGCATTGCATTTTGTAGAATTCCTTGCAATGTCTCTTTTTAATGCAATACTGTGCCAATCATTGTATGACTGGATATTTTCAAACTTGGCGTTTTTAAATCCTGAAGATACTGTTATTAATTCTGGAAAATACTAACATTTCCATCATGCAAACTAAGTCTTTATTTACAATAAAGTAAAACCACTTAGGTACAGTGGAGAAACTGCACAGAAAACAGTAATAGTCTTACAACATCTGAAAATCAAAACTGTATTGTTATTCTTTTGTCAGATACGGCTGTCAAGATAGTAAGTTAGGCCTCTTTGGGTGTCAATCGGAAGAGAATTTCATAAAGTTGAAATCATTGCAAGAAAGATGATTATCTGTTTCCAACATGTTTCGCCTGTCTCATAATAGGGATTAAGGCCAAGTGGGCTCATATTTGGAGGCATTATCTAAAACTATTCTACAACATGACAAAGTAATAAAATACCATAATATTCTGGCATCAATGATTCCACCAACAATTTGATCTCCATATTTCTTTTTTAAAAAGGCAAGCTCTTCCTAGCTTTTAGAAGGACATAAGAATAGAGTCCACTCTTGCCTCACAGGTCAGGTTGGTGCAAAAGAAGAATGCTCCCCATCTCACAATTGGAGGGGATCATCAGCAGGTATTCCCTGGTCATTTGCTTTCACTAGGCAGAATCTAAGAAA